TCCCTTTTCTAAGTTGTTACTTCTAAGTTTTTTATCTTCCTGGAATCCTTCACTATATTCCTTTATTCCTTTCACCAGGTTCACATAACTACTCTTGTTTGACAGCAATCTCCTTGTGTCGATACCCCTGCTAAGTTCAGCGCGCCACATGGCACAATCATAATTGATCTCATGATCATGTCAAGTCTGCGTGAAATTATATGACATATCTATAGCTACACATCTCTCAACAAAGGTTTAAATTCTTACTCTCTCGCCATCTCTCTCGCTTGCTCTCCCACTGTTAAACATTCACAGAGAATGTGGCAATCCACCACTGTGTTTCTGTCACCAACAAACATCGTAGAACATATACCTGCAGGGGTGTCACGAGATCATTTTCTAAGGAGGGCAGCGGGGGGGGGGGGGGGGGGGGCCTACAATTTTCTGGGAAGTTGGCCAAAAAGTTTTTTTTTTTAATCCGACAATTAACATGAAGCAAACAAGATAAAGGATTCCCACATTTTTCGTCCTTGCCAATAAAGGGTGAAAACTGGTTGTCAAATTTTAAAAATTTGTCTCCAGATAAAAAAGAAAAAAATGGAACTAGCAAGCAAATGGAGTCATCAACTGTTATTTCCAAACATTTGGACAAGGGTCTAACAAAAAAATTATAATTGTGTTTTTCTTAATGACGAAAAAAGGGGGAAGTTTTACATCCTTCACACCCCCTTAAATGTCCCATTTGCAAGCCAAAAATAGAAAGGTTAAATTCCACTGGCACTTGAAAGATAATACTAATTTAGAACTTCCCTCAAAACGAAAGGGCTTGAAAATAACGACCATTAGTTGTCGAATCGACTTTACGGATTGCAATCCTTTTAAGCAAATAGTCTGATTTTCAGACCCCTTGTAATTATCGAATGGCTGTACGTTTTGTGCTGCGCAAAGATTCAATCAGCTTAATTTTGGCCATTACAAGAAGTGGGCTATTGATGTAGACAAATGCTCATGTACCCGTTAGAGCTCATTTTATGTGGCACAGGTAATGGTATAAGTTGATTTTTCCTAATTATAGCGTCAGTAAGTTTACAAACATATAATCACAGAAACAAATTTATGTGACAAGTTTTGAATCATGTGTCCCTCTTTTTATTGTTCATTTTGGGAAAAACATTGCTTCGTGAGATCTGACTTAGCAATTCATCACCTAATTTACTTTTAACAATGGAAAGGCTAGCTTCTATAGAAATCATACAAAAATAGTGTTTGAACTGTTGACAGCACTGGAAAGATTAAGGAAATCTTCCCTTTCACCTTCTAGAAAAAACCATTAAAATTTCATCAATATTTCATTGTCATAATGCTAATTACACATCAATATTTCACTAGCTTCAATCATTAATACAAGTATTTATAAAGACAAATCGTACATTATATTGAACAATATTGTGTCATTAATTGGAACTTTGGAAGCTATATTGTACTGTTCATATAGTCAAAAATACACATTGGATTTCATCTCATTCAATTGATTAAATTACAAAATAAAACAAGAAATCTGCAGCTGGAATTTCATTACAAAATTTACACTACAGCCAATTGCACTAGCACATATCATACTTGAAGAAAATAAAGGTATTGTGTTAAAAATATAACTTGAAAAAGGCCTAGAACTCTTTATAAAAAAAGGAATTTAACAAATAAAACCAATTTTTCTGAAGTTTTCCAAATGAGTTGCAAATTGACCCACAATCAAAAAGAGCACCTGATATTGGTAAATCAAACAATTGGCTTCTAAGAGTTGTCATTATTCTTTTAACAATAATAATAATGGTGGCTTCTTATATAGCGCACATGTCCGTCACTTTGTGACGCTCCTGGCGCTGCCCCGATTATTACCCTGGTTTTAGCAAGGCAGCCACTGCGGCGCTCTAGCATTTCAAGGAATTAATTCCTGCCGGGTACCCATTTACATCACCTGGGTTGAGTGTGGCAAATGTAGATCTACATCTTGCCAAAGGATACTAGTGCCGCGACGGGACTCGAACTGCGGACCTTAAGATCGACAGTCCGTCGACGTATCCACTCGACCACAACACCTCCACCTTTAACAAGCAAGTAAATATAAAGCATATCTTTAATAGAATTATTCAGAATTGTCGACTATAATATTCTTTATCATTTAAAGCATTCTAGACAGATAGTATATTCAAACTCTCAAATTATCATTAAGGAATATCTTATGTTTGTCATTAAGAAGGGTCTATAAGAATAATTTTTCAGAGACACAATTTACTAGGAAGAAGTTTGAGAAACATTATCTTTGGGTGAGAATTAAAATTCATAAAAATCTTTAGTAGAGAGCGAATGGAGAGTATTCTTGCAAAGGAGATCAGGGAGATATCAATTTGTTTAATGATACCAAAACTTATAGAACCATGAATTTCCCACTCTTTGACAGATTGTTCTTGAGGTATCACTGACCTGTTTTTCAGATTTTTGTACTTTCATAGAAAAAACTTCCCCTTTTATTACATTTGTAAAAAATCTATATGATAAATAACTTATGTAAACGATTGCCTTTTTAACAGCTCAAAGTTGAATTCTCAAGACTCTTAAGCTAAGATACATTTTAATACCCCTGCAACCTTGTGACACTCCATATTAAAAAAGAAGGTAAATTTCAATTTTCACTCAGTGTTAAATCAACATTTAAAAGGTAAACAAATAACAACATTTTTTAAAAAGGTTAGATTTACACTTTTAACATGCTGTTTCCAATAGCATAGAGGTTGAATCTAGCATCAAGTTTGAACTGTATATCTATCATTTTGAAAGATTTGTGACTCCACTGCCCTTTTGAACTTTTAATTTAACATTTGAGTGTTATTGAATGACACAGAACATGGGACTAAATTTCAAATTCACTTTCTTGACAAATAAATGGCAAAACATGGCATCAAAACTCAACACTTTGAGCAAAAGGAGGAAATGTAATAACTTGTTAGGTCACTATTCTATATTAAAATATAATCCCATTTTTTCTGATTATTTATTTGAAAAGGATAAAACTTCTAGAAATGTACTTTTTACCTTTTTTCACTGGGTCACCTATATTAACCCTTTAAAATATGTAAATGTTCTCTAATCAAATCTAATCCAGTTTTTCTAATTATTTGATAAGGGTAAAAAAATTAAAATACACCATGTTTTTTACTGAAAAAATAAAAAACTGTCCACAAAATAAATTTGCACTGACAAAATTACTGTTTAATATATAAATTACTGACCAAAGCATAATAAAGAAAGTAAAACAAACATATTCTTCCATCAAAATAATAACCTTAATCATATGAGCAACCCTGCTGGACAAGGATCCCACATAAATTTGAGAACCAAAGTCAATGACTTCCCATGACTTTCCATATTTGCCTTTTCATGACCAGATAAGTACCATTTTGGAATGGATTGCGGAGGTGTAAGACCTTAACACCACGCCCATTGTCAGTTCAATTTGGAAGTCTGCCATAGCCACACACGGCCCACAGGTCCCATACCCACAATAAATATTGATGACTTTCTATGACAAAGGGAGATTTTTTTTTCTTCATTAGCCATGACTTTCCAGGCTTTTCCATGACTGTGGGAACCCTGTGAAATATTACTTTAAAAAAAATATATGCATTCCAAATAACTTCATTAACAGTTACTCTCAAATATTCCAAATAACTTTATTAACAGTTACTCTCAAATAGTAAACTCTCTTTGTGATGGAGAATTAACTGTAAAGTATAAACAATCAAAACTACTTAACATGATGCAAAAGTACGCAAAATTGAAAATAAGTTTTACATGAATACATAATTATTTCCACATGTTAAAAATGCTTAATTTACAGCAACGCTACAGCAGCAACAGACAAAGTGCATAGAAAACAAAACTATCATTCATATTAATAAGTTAAATTCTTACTCAACAATATCACACACGCTTGCATATCCAACGACTTATACTAGGCACAATCTTATCACTCCTAAGGCAATTTTTACTGTTAAATGTTACAAAATATATTTTCTTGCATAAAATGTACTTGGAAAAAAATGATTCAGCTTGTGAGCCAGGCTAGGCAGTTTGTGCATAGCAGTTGCAGGGGACCAATCACTGAAGTATAATTTTTTTTTGTTTTTTAAAGACATCCTTTTCAAATGCTGGTTTCTTTTAAACATTATTTTCATTAAAAAAAATTAAGTAGAAAAAAAAGTTGTAGAAAATGTATTACCCTTTCAAATGATACCAAATATCCACACTTATTTAAATTAAATTAATTGTGAAAGTACAAAATAAGTATCATTTTAGTCCTTCGTTTGTCTGTTCCTCATTTGTTTACTATTGTTTAACGCTAAATAAAAATACATCTTGTACAAATATGCAATTTAATATTCCTCAGAAATATTCTTTGGTAACATTCTTTAATTCATACAGATTTAGAATGCTTGATTCAGACTTCAAAACAGTGATAAATGTTGATCACCAAGTACCTACATATCTTGGTGGGGCAAATGATAATTGAAACATCATCCCTGCAAGAGTAAGGAAGCATTAACCTTACTTCATAAAAGGCCTGTATTGAAATAAAACTCTGACTAGGCTTTCAAGCACATGTATGTGGGCTATCTCTTTAAGTTTAAAGAGCATATATATGAAGCTGGTATTTTCAATAATATACCTGCATGAATCCCAAACATACACTGGAAATTAATTCTTTGATGATTGGTCCCCCTTTAATACTAAAGCAATGGCAACAAATTCATTTGACAAGTGCACAGGTTCATAAATGATGAGTATGCAATAGATTATGGCTGCGGATTACAAGTGCAGACCCTGCTGTTTATCCCTGCATACTGATATGATTTATACCCTGCTAGGTGAAGCCTCATAGACAATTTACAGGCAAAGAAGGGCATCAAAAACTTTGAACTTTGACCTTACGAGTCTCCATCACTGATGGTCCCAGAACCGTGGCCTAACTGTCAATCGTTTGCCTTGTCGATCAATACCACAGGTCTTCAGTTGAGTGCCAGAAGGATGTTGGCTACCAGTATAAGCAAAAGTTTATTTTGAGTTAACATCCTTCTGGCTCTCAGCAGACGATATATTCTTCTTTTTTTTCCCAACTCCTCCCCATCTTTCTTTATCTCAATCTATATGAAGACTCTCTTATTCTCTCTCTCTCTCTCTCTCTCTCTCTCTCTCTTTATATCTATCTCTCCTGACATAACTGGTAGACATGTGCACATCTGACATGTCCACTTGAAGCTGAAATCATTCAAGAAATTAAGATGTCTCATACCGCAACACTCCAAATTGGTCTGAATAGGACCACGAGACCATAAGACCATACAGGCACTATCAAAATTTGACCAAACGCATCAGTTCTATCCTTCCTGTTGATTGGCCCAGAGACATCGTTTTGCATATAGTCCACGTACTTCCAGCTTCCTTCAAAAGTCAAATGTTTGATCATCATCCTGGTCTACACCAAATCTTATTCTGCGTACTTCTTTCTTGTTCTGTCTCTCCTGTCTCCTGTCTATGTTTTTCTGGTCTCTATTGTTTCTCCTGCGCTCTTTGGCAACCGCATCAAATGCCAGCGGGGCATCTGTCGTGGTCTCGAACACCTCCTCAAAAGTGCTTCCCACCTGTTGGACCTGAGTGTCCGCAAGAGGGTTGGCGATGCCTCCGTCGCTACTCTCGTCCATTTGTTCATTGGAACTGTCCCAGGCAAAGAAGCCCCCGAAGTAATTATTGATGTTTGCTCCTGTTGCATCCCTGAGGCCTTGATGAGAACCACTTCCCCCACCAACATATCCCACTCCTGACTCCTTGCTCTGATCCTGCAGGTTGGGTGTTTCACTCGTGGCATGCAGCGATGTAGGATTGAGATAATGTAAGTTGTTACCACTACCAGCAGCTTCCCTTTTTTCATCCAGGGTAGAACCTTGACCAGTCAACCTGGCTTCCTTCCGCGAACCTTCTCTCCGTCTTTCCCTTGGATTATCTCCAAAGGCTCCTCCCCCCTCTCTGGGCCTATCCCGACCCCGCTCCCTGTCACCTCGAGATGGAGGATCTTCCTCTGTGATAATCCGTACCCTGCCTCTGGGGCTGACTTTAACTCTTTCCCTGGTACTCTCAGTCTCTTTTTCTCTTTGTGGTTTATCCCTCACCCGATCTCTGTCATTGTCTCTTACTGGTGGATCATCAAAGATTCCTCTGTTCTTTTCTCTGTTCCCATCCCTTATCCTATCTCTTCCAGCGCCTCTATCAAGATCACTATCTAAGAAGACATCTTGAGTGTTATCTCTTCCTCTCTTCTGGTCCTTCATAAAGGAAAGCTGCCGTCGGCTGTCCTCTCGCTCTCTTTTGAACAGCTCCTTCCTCTCCTTCCTCTTCATCTTTGCTTCCCTGTTGCTATCCTGCCAGATGTCGGTGTAGAGTTCCCATGGATTGTAAGCGATTGAGGTTGTCAGGGTGCAGTGGCAGCAGTAAGGCTGTGGCTCGCATCCAGGATTGCAACAGGGCATGTACTCATCGTACGACGGCTTATGCATCTCAGACACGGCCCACTCCATCCTACCATCAAAGTCCTCCCTGATGCGGGTGATCAGCTTGATGATATCCTGGTACTCTGGCTCGTAGGCAATGTTGTACTGCTCGGCGGGATCCCTGTGGAGGTCATAGAGAAGGGGAGGGTTGTGTTTGGTTCTCTTGGCAGTCTTCCTGCAATCAGGATCAGGATGTCCTATCCCAGACAGGGTGGAGCCTTTGGTGTAGAAGTGAGCCTTGTATTGCTTGTAACGAACTGCGAAGGAGCTCTGTCTCTCGCTGGCTGCAGGTGAGTAGTAGAAGAATGTCTCTCTCAAACTCTAAGAGATCAAAACAAGCAAAAATGATTAAGATTATATTTATCGACATGCTGTGATAAAACCTATTATGAGGCAAATACAAAATTTCAAAAACTCAGAGCTACTGTTTTGTTTAACACTGATTCTAAATTTTCCCCTGTTGAAGGCGATGAAATCATTATATCACTAAGGCTTAACACCAAAAACATACAGAAGTAATACAAATATTTTTAGTCGGTTGTATATATTACAAGTTGTTGTGATCAGGGACCCGTTTCACAAAGCCTTTTTTTAATGACAAATGACAAAAATCAGTGACAAATCTGCTGATAACCAATTAGAAGCAAGGATTTCAGCTGCTTATAACAAAAACTGTCATTTGTCACCGATGACAAGTTTTGTGAAATAGGGCCCTGCTGTATACTTTCAAACCCTAGATGAATATTTTCCAACTACCATTTACCAGAACATATTGGATGCAACCTAGCCACTGCTCTACACTTTCCCTAATGAATCAGGAACAAACTGCATTTACGGTACAGTATTTGTGAGACTTGTATAAGATTGGATAATTTTCAACCATTTTCAAATTTTCCATGAACAGATAAAAGTCACATCACCAAAAGAAACAGCGCCATGTAATCATTATTGATGAAGAACTTGAAAAACAATATTGCCAGGCGGAAATAATCTGTTCAGATTGGACAGCCTAGAAACCCAACAACAACAACAAAGTATATCATAAAAGAGTAAAGGAATAAAGAGTAAAACACTGAAAACACAAGAGCAAAAGAAGAAAAAAATGCTTTTTTACCTTGCCACCATTGAAGAGAAATGGTGCCATGTCCACCCCATCCAGCATGGCACTGGGCAGTCTGGCCCCTGTGATCTTGGCTACGGTCGGCAGGAGATCCAGGGTGCTGGACAGCTCCAGGGTATAGCCAGGCTTGATGCGACCCCTCCAGTGGGCTATGGCTGGCACGCGAACACCGCCCTCATAGGTGGTAGCCTTGCCGCACTTCAGGAGTCCCACGCTGCCTCCCCATCGCTTAGAGAGGCTTGGCCTGTGGTGCAAGATGAAATTTAATCACTGACTGTTAGACAATCTGCCATCAATTGTTCCCTGTTTCACGAAACATGTTAAGGTTGATATCTGCATTGTTTGACATGATATCATGTGCAGTGGATTTTGAATGAAGGAAGGTGGGCATTGTAGGACTATGTCTTAAATTCTGTGACAAATCTACAACTTTCAGCCAATAAAATTGTATTATTTCAGTAGCTAACATTACTCATTGTGAATTATTATTGATGTTGTGAGGTGTCGTGGACGAGTGGATATGTCATCGGACTGTGGATCACAAGGTTCGCGGTTCAAGTCCCACCGCGGCACTAATGTCCTTTGGCAAGACATTGATCTACATTTGCCACTCTCCACCCAGGTGTTAAATGGGTACCCGGTAGGATGCGAAAGCTAATGTGGTTTGATTAGCAAGTGGCGCTTGTAAAATAGCGACTGGCTGGAATGCTCCCCAGGGAGTGGAGATTGTGCACACATTGTGTGCGGGTAAGCACTGAATCCAATGACCGGGGTAATAATATATTTGTAAAGCGCTTAGAGACATTTGTATTAAGCGCTATATAAAAATTAAATATTATTATTATATTATGTTAAATTTCATGAAACAGGACTATTGTCTTGACCCCTTCTTTGATGCAGTTGGGAGATATGTTTGGATAAAAGAGTATCTCATTCTTTCCTGAAACAAAACCTAATTTTTTGTTCATTATTATCAAATTGATTATATCTTTAAATTATCTTAGAGTATATATAGAACAAAGAAAATCATATTTTGGGGGTCAAATCAAAACTTCACCTACACTGTGTACACCTATGAATAGTTGCAATTAAAATGATGTCTTCCACAGTCTACAATGTACTACATACCCATTGTCTGCACTGAAGAAGATGAAGGTGTCATTCCATATATCCTGCTGGTCCAGCTCCGCCATCACCTCCCCTATCTCCCAGTCCATCGCGGCCAGGGCGTCGCCGTAGTCGCCCCGAGCGGTCGCTCCCGTGTTCCGCCAGTCCGCGTACTGCGGGTCGTGCGTATGCTGGAAGGAGTAATACAGGAAGAAGGGTTTCTCACCGTTGACACTCTTCCGGATGGCCTTGCGAGCCTGCGTCGCGTACTTCTCGTCCAGGGTCATGAGGTCAATGGGTTGTTCGATGATGGTGGTGCCATTGTAGAGAGGACAGGGGCTGAAGTTCTGCTTGCAGCTGTAGACGCAGGTTCGGTTTGGATGGAAGCAGATGCTGCATGGACAGTGACTGTGGGATGCAGGGAGACCTGGAAAACATCATTAAGGAAAAATAGTGATCAATAATACATCACGCTGAAATGTTCATAAATCTGCTAGATCATTGTCATGAATTTTGTGTAATGCCCCAATCCTTGCTTCTTATTGGAAAGATTTGATTTTCAAGAATGTTTCATTCCAGCAGCTGACAAAAAATCAGAATGAAATTTGTTAAAAATTGCTCTTCTTGTATTCATGTGGCAGATATTCTGACGTTCCATTCAGATTATGGTGAAATTTAGTCAAAATTTAACCAAAATTCTAAAAGAAGATCTAAATTTGGGATAAAAATCAAGATACATGTATAGCCCCACATACACAGTAAAGCACTGAGAAGTTTAATAATGTCAAAATAATGCAAAATCACAAAAGTGTTACTTAATCCAGAGATACACCCCCTACAAATACTGGTTTATTGTGACTCCATCTCAGGATATGAAATATATGCTTAGAACTATTGGGAAAACAGGAAGTCCTACTACAAATTATTTCAAATCCGGTCTTCCTCTAGTTACTTTGGCTCCCAATTCACATTAATGTACTGCATCCTATTCCTAACTGTAACTCATAAAATAGTAAAATTAACTTGCAGAGTACACACATCTACAAGAACACATACCGGTACTTTGCACTCAGAAATTAACAAATGTTAGCACAAAATGACAGTTGCTATGGTAACCATCCTAGGCAGAAAACCACAGACGATGCATAATGCAGATGTTGGCAGTACATTGTAATACAGTACTTGTATCAGCCAAATCATGTTGGATATTATAATCATGACTCATGATTTTCATGAAATTATGCTATGACTGATATTCGTATCACCTGTTTATTAATCAACTAATAACCTCTTTTATGTACCAAAAGATGGGTGGGGAGGAAAGTTTGGGGACTAAATATTATAAGTAGAATGATTGGAGTATGAACATACTGCACAAACAGGGCACTGGCCATTCATAAAGACTGAAAAACTGTTCTTAACACAGAGGTCCAATTATGTTTTTGTTTTTTAAAGGGGCGGTGGGTATGCATTATAATTTAAATTCAGCAAAACAAACCTGAAAAGTAATATTGATAAATGTTTCTAATATAAGATCCTGTTTTCAAAATAGTGTAATGAGGTAAATTAAATATAATGGTATAATGAACAGGCAAAAATTTCAGAAAGATAACAGAAGAAAACATTATGTTGTGTATCAAATACACTGGAAAGTTGAGTGGAAATGAAAAATGGGGGGGGGGGGGGAGAGTTAAATGTAAGGAAAGAAGAATATAAAATAAAAAAAAACATAAAAGAGTGAAATCTGAATCATTATTTAAGTATTTCACTGTAAAATACAAAGATAAAACATGAATAGATTTCGATTATTCTCAAGTACTATGGCAGGATGTAATTCAAGTGAATAAAAGTAGGTCAAAACAACAATATCAATGTCCATTCCGTCTGAATTTCACTGAAAGGTCATCTGTCTTGTTCAGCCTTTTTTCCTCACTGATGACAATGACCTCCATAGCATGTATGATGACAAGAGACATATTGTTACTCCAAACTTAGGCTGTGTTCATAAAATACTTTGAAGCAAGAAAAACTAATGTAAAACACTGATCAAAGTAATGAATTTGAAAGACACCATTATGAAACTGTTCGATACAATTTATGACAAGAAACATACTGTTAGGCTGTGTTCATAAAATATTTTGAAGCCAGAAAAACTAATGTAAAACACTGATCAAAATAAGGAATTTGAAAGACAACATTATGATACTGTTCCATGCTTAGGTTTTTTTCTTCAGATCAGACCTTTTGAAGCCAGATTGGGAACATGGAATACCCATCAAAATTGCCAAGCTGATCATTATTTCTTAGGAATAACATTTGTATCAATTATGACAAGAGTTGTACAGCTACTCCTACCTTAGCTTAGCTTGCATTCATAAAACTTTTTAAAGCAAGAATCAGAAACAAGGAACACTGATCAAAATGCCCAATTTTATTGGAAAAACTCTACAAGAGGAAGTTCATTGACATACAAATTATTACAAGAGACATACTGTTACCCCAAAGCTTAGGCTGTGTTCATAAACTATTTTGAAGTCTGAATCAGGAACGAGGGACAAACATTTAAAATGCCAAATCTAAATGGGATTTCGCTGTACCGCCCCCAAGTTCAGGCTGTGTTCATAAAAAACTTTTAAAACCCAAACTCTGAAACATGGAACAACCATTAAAAAACATAGACTTGAAAATTGAAACACATTGTGAGTGTCTTGTTAATACAACTAGTAAGCTGAGATTGACATCCATAAATCCCTTGCACTTCTCTTGCGATCGTCTGTAGAGTTGAGACATAATTTTGATGTACAGTAGGGTGGTGTTTACAGTCGACTAACCATGCCTTTGGATGTCATTCAATCAAGATATTTTGGGGAAAAGTGTTACAAAATGCACATTATTTTCTTTCTAAATCAGTAAGTTAGCATTTTTAAACACATTAAAATCTACAATCACCAACAAAAAATAGTCGATAAATGCAGTCATGTTGTATGTTTGAAAATCATGATTCGAGGCTGAAAAAAGCAGTATGAACACAGCCTGAGACATGAATTCAGTTACATGTATACAAGGCTGCACTGGTAAACTCATAAATACATATGGTATCATGGATGGATTGAGCTCCATATTTGGCTAAATTGTAGAGGGTCGAGGCAGGGGGTTCAATGTTCTCTCAAGGATGTTTTTCCTTTCCAGGAGAGCAGGAGTTGTAGAAGAGGACAGGTATGATGATTATGTAGGCATACATTGCTTACTTTCAATAACATTTTAGCTTATAATAAGGCTTTAATATTTTATTGGTTATGCTTATAACTAGGCTACTTATAACACTTTTGCAATACTCTTGAAATATCAACAACATTACAACAATTTCACTAGCCCCTTCCATCACCTTAAGAAACGTTTGATAATTACAATGGCGCTCTACGTAATGACCATGATGTCTATAGGATATACATTGGGTTAAGTACCCTTTGGTTTGTTTCATGTTTTTAGGAAGTAGTTGCGATTGTGATTTGTTGGGACAAACTCAATTTTGCAGCTTCATGTATATAAAGCTGATGCATCATCATGAATTTACTGATAGAATAGAATGAAAATTAGAAAATGAAAAGAGCAATATCGAACTTGAAAGACAATACTCATTCTATTAGACTACTTTAATAAAAAGCAGGTGAAATTGTGCCTTTAGACAGGCAGCTAATAAAATTGGCCTAGGTCTTTAAATTCTTTTTGAGGGATTTGATTAATCAATGCCTTACCAAAGGGCCCTAGCCCTAGCACACCGACTTCATTTTGAACCTAGGACCTCCCAGTTACAAGACCACTGCTCTACCACTGATCCATCATGTCTCTCTCATCTTTATGTAATATACTATGTGAACAAAGATACAAGTGAGTTTTTTCAAACAAACCAACAAAAAATGCCTCCCAAAGGCAAACACGACCCCCTTCTAACATGAATAATTGAATATCACATTTATCCCAGCTGACTCTATACTACTTTCAAGTTAAACAAGTATAATTTGCTCTTTTTCTTCTAATGGAATACCATCTGCACATACATGTATACCCAACAATATATGTGTACTATTTACTTAATAAATATTCTATTCTACCAAAACAGACAGACATGAAATCTCTTATAAATAGAAAATAGGATGTTTACTACATGTGACGGCAATAACACTCACTGATCAAACATATAAAAAGTATTATGATCAAATGAAAAATGAAATTTCAAAGAGATTTCAAAGAGATTTGGTTCTATTATCAGTCTACAAATAAATTCCTGCCCACACCAGTGTTTGAATTCACAAGGCCTTGTGGCAATTTCATGGTCAAATTAACTCAGGAATGAGGAAATCTATCAAGCATGCAATTATATACACTATTAGTCAGTCTACAATTTCACCAATTGTACACCTTGTTGCTAACAAGGACAATATTTGCTGTACAGCAATAATTTTAGTCCAATATCTCAATAGGGTCTCATCAGAAAGAAAAATATGTATGGTATAATATGGTGCAACCTTGTGGAAACTAAACTGATTTTTGCACAAAAATCACAGGGTAACAATCACCTATAAAACAATTGAGGTACATCAAGAATTTTTTTTTAAACCTCCCAAACCCGGCATTCTATGGGTTAAACACTTAAAGGATTATGAAGAAAATAAAAATTAACATCACACTAAGTCTAACTTGCAGAAAACTTTAGTTCTTGAGGTTAAAGAACTCTAAACCTAACTTGAAGAGATTACACCTGGAAAATGTCCAACCCTACTATACTGTTCCTATAGTTTCCTAGAAATGTTGTTCTATGTGAATAATTGTAAGAATTTCCTGGAGTCCAACTTCCAGAAAACTTAAGTTCTTGAAGATAAAGAATCTAACATGAAGAGATATTTACACCTTGAAAAGGTCCAACCCTATTTTACTGCTTCTAGTTTCCTAGAAATGTTGTTCTATAACGGTATGTGAATAATGTAAGACCTTTCTGGAGTCTAACTTCTAGAAATTCTGTTCTAAAAAAAAGAACAATGTAGCAACTGCCCGAATACTGCCAGAATATATTATAACTTCTAGTATTAACTAAGTTCTTCAAGATTACGAATCTCTAAAGTAAACATATTACACCTTTTTGAAAAGATCCAACACCTTACAGTGCCCTCTGCTAAACATTGACCATCGTTACACAGATTAATCCCCTTGCTAAGACCACAAGCACAACTCTTTCACACCAGAGAAAACAACATCTATAGAAACATTCTATTATCCTGACAATCGTTGAGGGAAAGTAAATACTCATGGAATGAATATCATATAAAGAAATGTCAGGGAGGATATAGTCTCTCAAAAAGAAATTTCTTGTCATGAAGTAACCTCTGCTAAATAGAGACCAAAGTCACCAAAGTACACAGAATAAACCCT